GACAGGGAGTACAAAGGACTACATATCGCCTGCTTACAACTAAAACGTATTAGATATGAACTAAATTTTGCTGAAAACGCATTAAACATTTTTATAATAGCTAAGGTTTTTTTATGTATAATGTAATGGTGTACCCACCTGTTTTTCACAAGGTTTTCGTTGACGGAGCACCAGTGGAAAGTGATATGATGCATGAGGTCAGGTCAGTTGGCACATTGTGACAACTTCACCAGGAATTTATTAAAATGATTTCAATTACTGATTATTTTCTCTGATAGCAATGTGCCATACATTGCTAGCGATGGGATCGGAAGTCCATATAACTACAGATAAGACAATGCCCTTCCCCTAATAACTGAGGTTATAAATAAATGAGGGCATGTAGAGGATGGCATCGGGGACCATACTCTGGCGACATACTAAAACCTATTACTTGAATTAAGAGCGTGCATGGCAATAGTTTTCATGTTCGGGATTTCATTTTATGTTAGACATAGACACCTATATAAATACCTATGCATTGTAAATAAACTGGATTTAAAAAAAAAAGTAATTCAATTGAGTTTCTTGCCAGTTCTTCTCAATTGAATCTATATACCGAACTGGACGGTAGGGAAAAAAAATTATAATGTAAAAACTTGACGTTCATAAGCGGCTAAAATGTCCTACATGAATAAATGATTTTTGAATTTGAAAAGGCTGGATGCGAAGGCCTTTTTTTTATTTCTATTCTATTCTATTCTATTCTATTCTAAATAAAATTTATAGCTTAAATTACATAGCGATTAAATCATAGAACCTATTTAAAAAAAAAAAAAAATTTAACGATATATATTCAACTATATCAACTATTATATTAAACAAAATAGAGAAGACGAGTAATTTCCGGTTGACCGCAGGCGGGAAAAATGTCGGAAAACCACGCTCATACCATGATATTTGTAGTTCATTGTATATGTGTTAATTAAATTGATTATCATGATTATTAGTAAACATTATTATTTATATAGACAATATATTATTATTTACTGTGGGATAAATAAGCTTAGTGAGCAATAAAGTACCAATAATACTGACTAGACAAATAACAATTGTAGTCGTAAGAAGACACAGAAATTCATTCTGGACACAAACTTCATTTATAAAGTTATATTATGGCTATAATAATTAAAGTTGTAATACTAAAATATATACCTTCCTATCTCTTATCACATGATGTCACATGAGGTGTGACATCATGTGATGTGATAAGAGATCACCATCCGTATCACCACTCCGTAATGTGTGACATAACGTCACACCTCGACTCTTCGACTCTATCACCTCAACGTACTGTCTACCGCAATTTATAATTGTTTATTTTTCCTATGTAAAATACTGGCTGAAAAGCTTTCATTCGATACTTTTTAAATTAATCTCATGTACTTTTTTTTTATAAAAGTGGCCAAAGAACTAAGAGTACAGTTCATTGATGCGTATAAAACGATTGTAAACATTGTGTTATTTTCGTTTTCATTATGCGCATCACCGTGGATCATGCGCCTACGCATCAAGTGTTGACGACCGGTGGCGCCACGCTTTCCTGTTCAGGTGTACTTGTTTTTAATGGATTAATGTATAATAGTATAGACAGGTATACTGGCAGCCTAGTGGAAGATGACATCAATGATGATGATGGGTTGAAGTTAGATTAGTTCACCCATTGCGGTGAACCGTCCAGGAATTATTTACATTTTTTTTCCAAGAAAAACAGCATAGAAGTATCTATTAGATATACATAGAAGTTAGGCATAGACATGTAACAAAGGGAATTGCCTTTATTCATAAATTTATTCTAGCCATAGACAATATCCAATATTAGAAAAAGTGTTTTTAAAGATTGGATACAATTCAAGATTTGTGGTCGATTACTAGGAATCAAAAGCTACTTGGCCACGAGGCTCTGGCTCAATACATAGTACGTAAATAGTATAAAATAATTACCTACAATCTTAACCAAACACGTGTTAAGATGCATATGTTTTATATCTACGTCTTCCATGATAGCTGGTCAATCTCATCATTAATTACAGATTATTAATGGCACAAATCACATTAAACAACAACCACAGATGCAGTATGTGACGTCATAAAAAATACAATATGGGGGATGAAGTCAGTCGCATTTTTATTTGTTTTCTTTGGCGTTCAATTCAAATCATGGTAATGTCTTAGGGAAATGCATGAAGAATATCTGTCATAGATAATCGTTATTTTTCTGTGCAAAACAGGTCATTATACCTAATCGCTATTTTTAAATAAATTTCTCTGTATTCTATTTAATCTGTAATATAAATACCGTATCTTCACGTTTTTAATTTATTTTCTTAATTCTACCTACTTGTCTATGGTTCGTATAGTGAAGGAATAATAAATTTTAAAACAATAAAATTAAAATATAGGCGTAGTCACTTAAATTATTTTATGTAGATAAGAGGTCAAGTAACGTAATGCTATGAAAGAATAAATTTACGTCTCATTTCCAAATTTCTGGCCCGGTAACCCTAAATTAACAGTTATTATTCACATATCCCCTTATCTTTTTTTTTTTTTTTTTAACGTGTGGAAAATCTTCAAAAGACCGTCACCTCGCCGGAGGGATGGCGAGGTGGTGTGTGAGACTTGACTCACTAAAAACCACACGGTGTACCTACGAGCGCCTATGCCGGAGCCAGGGGATTCGCAAGTGCATTCTACCCCAGCTCCGACGGCGACGGCCCGCCCTGTAGATGTTGTAGGGCAGGCCCCATCTCGTTTAGTGGTTAGGGCGACCTATTTCGCCCTACCCCATTGTGGAGGCGTGTGGGTACACGCGCACACCTCCGGGGCCTTTGGATTGGGGGGACTGCCTCCCTCAAGGCAGTCACCCCGGCCCCAGTGGGGGATAGAGGGGGGCGGAGTTGGGTACGCCCCCACCTCTAGGCCTGGCTAGGGAAGCGGGACGAGCTTTCCCGCTAGATAACTTCCTCGCAGAAGGAGCTTATTAGCCACGATCTCTCGCTACTGATCATCCTCCGAACTAAATTCGGCAGCGAGAGATCGTCCCCCACTATTCGTGTGAGGACACGGCGCTCACTCTCGAACGCTGGACATTCGTCCAGCGTGTGTTGCGCCGTGTCCTCAACACCTCCGCACTTGGCAGCCGGTCGTCGGCTCCTTCCTCGCCACATGACACAGATACCGCCCGAAGCATCCGTTAGTATCTGCGTCATGCGGTACGTCAGTGGCCATCTCCTATTCATCCACCGTTTGAGGATGGGACGGACAGCCTCGACGGTCCTCAGGCCGGCCGATGGACTGGCCAGCCTTTCTCTCCACCTGATCCTGAGGATCCGCCGAAAGTCGGACCTCCGCGCTCCAATCTCATGGCCAGCGGTTGCCTCCCCCATGGAACGTCGCTCCGCGCGCCAGTGATACACTGACGCGTGGAGCTCCGCTACCAAGTCCCACGGAGGAGACCCCGCCAGCAGACCCGCCGCTTCCCCGGATATGGTGCGGTAGCCTCTTATGGCCCGTATGGCCATGACCCTGTGTGGCCTGTTGAGGCAGGCCACATTTTCCTACCAAGGGCCCCCACCCAGATGGGGGCCCCGTACCGCACCACGCCGAGGTAAACCTTCTCCCGGGCCCCTCACGTTTGGCAGCAGCCAGCTAAGAGCGCCGGCGGCTGCCATAAGGCGAGGGACCAGGTTCCGGAAATGAGCGCGGAAGCTCCAACGGCTGTCCAGGTCAAGCCCCAAATACCTAATACAGGGCTTGACCCCCACCCTCTGGCCACTGACGACCAGCTGGGCATTAGGACCTCGGTCTTCTCCAGCGCCACCTGGAGCCCAAGCCTCCTTAACGACCAGCGCCACGCTCGTGGCAAAGCGGGTAGCCTCCCGTAGGTCCCGCCCCCGGGCAGTGACCAAGGTGTCATCCGCGTAACACACGAGGTCAGTGCCCGTTAAAAGGGCGCCTCGCAGGTTCCAATCATACCCGATGTTCCACAGGATCGGGCCCAGAACCGATCCCTGTGGAACACCGCGTTGCATTTCCCTCGACACTACAACGCTGTTCCGCCCCGTGCAGATTCTTCGAGATAGGCCCCGATCACGTCCCGAATGTAGGGAGGCGCGCGATGGTACTGCAGCGCCTCCCTAATAGTCGCAAAGGGCAGGGTGTTGAAGGCGTTCTTAATGTCTAGAGAGACCGCCAACAACACCCCACCCTGGGACGTCGCCTCTTCCGAGAGGGAGCGCACACGCGAGATCGCGTCTAATCTCGGAACCCGAACTGCTTCGGGCTGAGATCGGGACCTACCTGAGACAGGTGTTGGACGAGTCGGCCCGCCAAGATTCTCTCGAAGAGCTTGCCGATCTCGTCCAACAGCACTATATTTTGTTTATTTCCACTGATTGGGAAACCGTCCCGACTCCAGACACGCATTGAACAAGCGACATATCCCCTTATCTGCGTTATTCACAATCCATTAACCCAAAATGCGATCTTAGTAGCAAATGAAAGACGCAAGAATTCCTTATGCTTCAGTGATTAGTAAATGAAACTGTTAACTAGGCAGCTAAATTTGTATTTTTTTAGGATTTGTGGTAAACCAATCAAGATTTTGGTAATAATAACTATTTCATAATTGTATAAAAATAATTGAAATATTGCATATTTTGTTTATATTTTCTGTACGTAAAAGTTACAATTAATAAAATTAATTAGGTATGTAGTTTTTTTATTTTGATGTAAACTTTAATAATGTAATATACCTATAGTTATTTATCGTTTATTGACTATATTTCATTACATAAAGATTCTAGTTTTTCCAGCTCAGTTGTGTCCATGACTCATATATTTGTGGTGAAATATATAAAAATGTGTTATTTCAGGGATAATGTTCCATTAACATTAAATTTACTTATTTTATTAATGCACTTAGTAATTATGTATTTATAAGTCGTTTAATAACTTACCTTTTGAATTGAAGCACGTTTCACTGTAAACACCGAACTGTACAACACAATGCCTTTGTCTTAGAAAAAAATAAACAAATACTTTATGACTGAGACTCTTCCCGCGCTTTGCGTTTACAAATTATAACCTCAAAATTGATATAAAATTGCAATAATAATAAGAAATTGTTTAGAAATCAATTGTATTGTCTCGTTCTGTCTACAAAACCAACGAGTGTTCAGTTTTCTAGCAATGAGCGAACTGTTTTCAAGTAGCGTTGGAAAATGAAAAGTACTGGAGGGAAGCCAAGATGGCACCACGCCAAGTACGAAGTTCGTTGCATGTGTCCAGTTGTAGGGTGCATGCACCTATTTCTACATATGAGCGTTAAACCTATGTATCTTTACGATAGATCGCTTTCCTAAAGGAGCGTAGACTGACACCACCAAAAGTTTTTTTTTTTTTTTTCAAGAAGGGTTTAAAGGTTTCTTAAGGGTCGGCAACGCGCATGTGACACCCCTGGTGTTTCAGGCGTCCATAGGCTACGGTAGCCGTTTACCATCAGATGGGCCGTATGCTTGTTTGCCACCTAAGTGGTATAAAAAAAAAAAAAAAAGTTATAAGCAGTCAAAGTTTTTAGCCTGTTTTCTTACGTTAACGTATGTTTTAAATAGTAATTATAATCGATCCCATTCCAATTCAAATGGGTAATTACAAAGAGTATTCATATATTTCTGTATCTTCTATGTACTTCCGTAGAACCCGTTTCGACTGTTTAATAGTTCCTCCATATCATATGCAGCTTGCATATGATATCTGTATTTGAAAAAGTACAATTGTAAATATAACTATATATATAAATATATATTTTTTTTACAAACAAGCAAAGATCATCAGACCGTACAGCCTACATTAACAAAAAAAATTGTATAGATCTATATGTTTAGATTAGTTATCCAGCAACCATTACACGATCTCTGCTTAGCTGGGGGGCAAGGGGATTGTTAGTAATGTGGACTAATGATCCCATCGCTAGCAATGTACCATGTCAAATCGACCTCCACGCGGTTCCCCCTGGAAACCATCGTGATATATTCCCGGTGAATTTGTCACGTTGGGCTAACTGATCTGACTTCATGTTCATCCTATCATCCTCCACTGGTGACCCGCCAGCGTACACCGTTAGCGCAGGCGGGTGCAACATTTCCATTATCATCCTTTAAAAAAAAACTCTGCTTAGCTTTGGACTAAATGGTACTGTGTCAATTATCCTGAGAATGAGAATTGTCCTTATAATTACAAATATTTTTTTTATAAGCAGTATTTTTTCTGCATGGTCGAACAAAGGAAACTTTTGTCTTCGAAGCTTTATGGAGATGTTTGAAACAAACTTTCTTACGATTATCGGTAGTATATCTTCTATTGTTATTCATATAATTCATTCAGTCATACTTATATAAATAAATATGGATATAAGTATGACTGAATGATTTATATGAATAGAATAGAAAATCATTTATTCAAATAAACTTAATTTAAGCACTTTTGAATAGTAATTTTTTTTAAATCTACCGCTTATTTGGAAAGCTGTCTCATCACAAGAAGAACGAGCAAGAATATCTCTTTTAAATAATCCTTGTAAGTTCACATTTTTCAAGTCGAAACGTGTGAATACAAACTACCAACCAGCACTAATTTATTTAGGCTGAAATATAAAAACACAATAGAAGATATAAATAAATTGTTGAATAACAATAGAAGATATATATATCCATATTTATTTTACTTTGTCAATTTTTTTTTTATTATTTTAAACTTAATAAATATATTTTAAAATAAATTAGAAACAAAGAGGTAAGGACATACGAGCTGTTCTTGATAGCCGACATTAAGTCCACTTACCCTACTAAACAAAAACATAAAAACCAATACAATCTGTACATCGCCTTTGACGGACAAAGATTTCAGCGCAACGAACTCTCTCATTATGTCCTGTGTATAAGTAATTAAACTTATAGCTGTATATAAATTAATTACGCCATTTTAAAAATGTATATTCGAAATTCAAATTTCTTTTTTACTTCTCTTTCGTTTATTTGTATGTTCTATATTTTTAATTATGGAACGGCAAAGATTCTTTTTTCAAAAACTTACATTACTTGCTTCACAGATAAGCTTTAACTCTATAATTTTTTTTTTAAATCTAGGACTCCAGGCTTAGATAATAAATATATAATATTAGATGAAACTGCAAAATATTTTTCTTCATTGCACATTTACATGCAATTATTCCGATACATGCATTTTGAAGGTTTTGTTCTTATACGCAAGCGCGGTTCAATGAGAACAAAACTATTTTTACGTGGAATCATTCTCGTATTTTCAGCATATCTATTATAGATTACTAGCTACTCGCCCCGGCTCCGCACGGGTGTACATGTATTATATATAAACCTTTCTCTAGAATCACTCTATCTATTAAAAAAATTTCAAAATCCGTTGCGTAGTTTTAAAGATTTAAGCATACATAGGGACGGACAGAACGCGCCAGCGACTTTGTTTTATACTATGTAATGATATATTTTTTTTTATACTGGGTGGTGGCATTTTTTTATAAAACATGTTGATTGCTTTATAAGTTTGTCTAAAACAATCAACACGTTTTATATTAATAATCTGCGTATGCGGAAGTAAGCTATGTACCCACAATGTAAATATAATATCAGAGCAATTCACACAACGCCACTTACGTCCCAAGCTAAGCAGAGCTTGTGTTATGGGTACTAGACAACGGATAAAAACACATAGATATATTTCTATTTGTAAATACATTTTTGTATATAAAAATTACGTGTCACCGCGTTTGTCCGCGATGAACTCCTAAACTACTGAATCGATTGCAAATTAATTTTGCACATTCTATATAATTTGATCCAACTTGATTTAGATGATAGATCACATCTCAATTTATAGTCGCAATATTATTTTATGGCCGGGTCTGCTAGTACATTATATACACAGACCGATACAAACATTCATACTTATGAAGTCTGTACCGTGCGAGGAATCGAACCAGCGACCATCGTAAATAAAACTGTGTACTAAACCGCTAGACTACCGAGGCCGTTAATATTATCATGGTAAATATCCAGTTTATGTACATAATGAAGTTTAAACTTTGAATTATATATAATATATTTATTTAGCAAAAAAGTTTAAACTTTAATTTCAATAATATATTTTCCCCATAATATATATTTGTGTAGACTGCTGGGCAAAAAGCCAGTTGCCAACATCACAAGCCTCCCTTGAGCATACCGTACATTAAATTTCCAAATGGGCCATTTGGCAATATTGGTATAAATACATGAATGAACACATATATATATATATGTACACACCGCAACTCCAACATAGTAAAACAATAATTAAAAACTAATACACTATTTTTTCTACTATGAAATATTTGCTAAACAGGACTCCGATCAGCATATTGCTGCAGCCGACGCAAAAGCTCTGATTTCAGCGGAGCGCAGAGGGTAAATAAAATAGGTCATAAAACAATCTATCTACATAATTAGAAACCACTGCAATTGCATTACATAATGAACTCAGATCGTCCCCGCGTCGTCGTCGCGTCGCCACCGCGTCGCCACCGAGCTAAACGTCGTTAGAGGAAAATATTAGCTGATGACGGCATCTTGTTAGGGTGAGGGCACACCGCGTGCTAAGTCTACAAACATTTGGTGTTTTAAAAAATAGTAGTTGTCGAAATTATACCACAAACAATATAAAATTTAAGTTTAATTAAATTATTAAGGTTCTGTTGGCAAAGACCACACTTTTATAATAATATTGATCATTGTTAAGGTTCTATGCTTAAAGATGTACATTTCTATAATCACAGACACCGGAAGTCGCACAGGTAAATTAATTATCAAGTTTTAGTAAAGATATCATATCAATTTATGTTTGTTTATTAATGAACGAATACCCCAAACTTCTGTCTCTTAGCGTTTTTGAATAACCTATTTTAGAAATTAGGAAGACTAATAAAGAGATAATTAACATTTAGATAATGTTTTTTTAGATTAGATATCTATCTATATAATTCAGGAATCAAAATGTATATCCGACTCTTAATTTCTTAGAACCAGAACCTCAAAGACCCCACTTTTATGCCAAAAAATGTGAAAGGCCTCTTAAGTAATGCAATAATTATTATAAGAAAGTAATAACCCAGGACAATTTACACAGCGCCATCTAGGGCCAAGCTTAGCAGAGCTTGTGCTATGGGTACTAGATGACTGATAGATGTCATTTACACTAATTAAAATAAACAAACAATATATTTTTTTAAGTAATAAAAGTGATTTTTTAGTGGCCATTGATAAATAATGAAGTCCACAACAGGTAGAGTAAAAAATATCCAACTAATAAACGCATTTATAGTATTAATAGGATAACTTGAACCTAAGTGGTCACGGACAGTGCGGTTTCAGAGGAGCTTCCTTCCGCGTACACTTTGATTGTGGAATGATCCGTATTTTCTCACGAGACTACAGCACAGGGTTTTTCAAAAAATATACCATTTTTGAAAATCCCTAGTATCTCAGGCGTCCACAGGCTACGGTAACCATTTACCACCAGATAACAGCATGCTTGAGGGCCGTATGCTTGTTTGCCACTATCGTAAAATATAAAAATAACGCAAATAAGTTGAGCAAGGCTCACTTGTTAAAAGACTTCTAAATTCCACAATGCCGATGTATATTGCACCCCTACAATGGGCGCGGTGTGCCCTCAACTCAACCCACCCTGGGAATATTCACTCAGATCGCGCCTCCGGTGGTGACTGCACTACCTATCTGTTTGTACGTCCCAATCTACGGAACTCGAGGTTAGTTGTCAATGTGTTTGTCTGTGTTTGATTTTTCATTTTTGTAATCGACTTAATAAGTACAATGGTTTAAATTTCGACCCTGTTTTAATTATTTATTATTATTTCATAAATACCAGGCTTTAATTTTGATCATGTTTTTAGTTACTATTATTTTTAGAAATAGAAATTGTCTTTATTCAAGTAAACTTAATAGAGGCACTTCTGAATAGTCATATTTTTTATTCTACTACTCATTCGGAATGTAGACTCATCACAAGAATAATGAACAAGAAACTTATGTGTTACACTTTATTAATATTTCCAGTATATTCAAATAAACTTAATAGAAGTACTTTTGAGTAGTCATTTTTTTTATTCTACCATTCATTCGGAATGTCGAATCATGACAAGAAGAATGAGCAAGAAACTTATATGTTGCACTTTAATAACATTTCAAGTATATTCAACAATAAACTTAATAGAAGCACTTTTGAATAGTCATATTTTTTATTCTACCACTCATTCGGAATGTAGACTCATTCATCAAGAAGAATGAGCAAGAAACTTGTGTGTTGCACTTTATTAATTTTTCGAGTAGCCTACATACCTATATTCCATGTATATTTAAAATCATTCGTTTATCCGACTTATAATTAGTGATTTACATTTATTTTTATTTATTTTTTAAGTAGCGTACATATATACAGTACATATTTTAAGAGTCTTTCGTTTGTCTGTCTTATAATTAGTGATTTAAATTTATTTTTATTTATTTTTTAAGTAGCGTACATATATTCACTACGTATTTTAAGAGTCCTTCGTTTGTCTGTTTTATTCTGTGATTTAAAAGAGAGAAGGTTTTCTATTTTTGTACCTACAAGGTATCTTTTAATAGGCTGCTATATAACCTATTTTGTACATACAGGTATGTTTAGAAGAAAATTAAATTTATCGATCTTTTGTTACTGATTCGATAATCAAGTTTAATTGTTTCAAATAAATGTCAATGTAATTAGTATGTAATATATTATATTAGTATATAGTAGTATAGTAATATATTTTAGTTATTATATTATATTGATTGACATATATTATTTTATTGTGGTACCTATTATTATGTTTTAATGAAATTTAATGACATATTGTAATTATGATATCAATTTCAATATTTCCAATCTCTACGGGATGAATGCATGTCATGTACTTATATTATATTGTAAGATCAAAATTAAATGGGATAAGGAAATAAATAAATTACAGATATATTATATAATATTATATAATATATATATGTAATTTATGATGCGTGAACTAGGATTGCGTCGCACATTATTATGTGTTGATATTGTTGATTATGTAGGCCTCTAATTTTTTTACAAAATAAAACCATGAACTCGTAGTTTTGTATAGGTGAAATATTTTAAGAAATCTGTTACTTCATTTTTATTTCTATTTATAAACCTATATACATAAACAGCACTACGGACCTCACTTTATGTGTCATGATATGTGTGTGTAACATGTGACAATGATACTATTCATACGTTGTCATTCTAGTAATATTAAACTGTATTTTTTTATGGATGATATACAATGATGCACCCGCCTGAGCTAACGGTTTACGCTGGCATGGCGGGGCACCAGTGGAGGATGTCAATATAAGCATGAAGTCAGGACAGTTAATCTATCTTTGCAAATGGTAATTTAACATTTCCAGGGGGAACCGCGTAAAGATCGACCTGACATGGTACATTGCTAGCTGGGATTATTAGCACTTCAGTTTTTAAAACTTTATAAATAAAAACAATGTTCTTGCATAAAAAACTTAAGTTCATAGCACTGATAATATTATCTGACTGCACTAGAAATCAGTACGTAGCGGTATCTATGTTAATTATCGTATGCCTCTTACTTGTTTTTATGTAATTATTTATTTAAAATAACATTTATTCAAAAGAGCAACATACAAGTTTCTTGCTTGTGATGAGTCTGCGTTCCGAATGAGTGGTAGAATAAAAAATGTGACTATTCAAAGTTGCTTGTATTAAGTTTATTTGAATAAATAATATTTCTATTCTAATCTACATTTCTAACAATCCTCTTCCATACATGTACTGTAATTTCATTGCCAAGTTGCACCCTACACCTGCATCCTATAACCTCAACGTGATGTCCGTAGTTTACCATCAAACGGGCTGTCAGCATGTTTACCATATCAATTATAAATTAGTTTATATACTCAGTTTGTATATAGGTATATATATTTCCTTTTTATTTGTTTCACAGTTTTCTTTTTTCTTTTATACGTATATATTTGGATTTATTTTAATTCTTTTGTTCCCACTGAGATTTTATACAGGGAAAGTTTTTAATAGAAGTTTTCAGTGTAGGAATCAGTTTGTATATAGATGGATGTGTGGTGTGACAAGAATAGATAAGATATAAAATTAATACATTAGAGGAAGTATGAAAGTGGCGCCGGTGTCGGACAGGTTGAGAAGTAATCGTCTATCGTGGTATGGGCATGTAATGCGTAGGAATGAAGATAATATCTTAAGATAGGTGTTACATATGAATGTGGATAGTAATAAGGGCAGAGGACGGCCGAAAAAAAGATGGATGGACTGTGTGAAAGATGATATGGTAGGAAAGGGAGTAAACAGTTATGAATGGAAGAGAAAAACATATTACGCCGACCCTAAGTAGATGGGATAAGGAAGAAGCAGACAGTTATGAATGGAAGAGAAAAACATATTACGCCGACACTAAGTAGATGGGATAAGGAAGAAGCAGATGATGATGTTACTTAGTTTGAATAATAAGAACATAAGATGTTCATATAACAATTATATATAGGCTATGGTATTCATCCGTCCATCCACGGTTTCCTACCCGACTGTATGGCGCCGTTTCTCCGTACAACGCGGAGGCACCACCGCCTACCTGCGCATCCAGGATCTGACTGAGGACATGTACGAACCTGCTGTCCAGTTGCTGATCAAGTACTTCACTAGGGATGAACCGCCTTGCAAGTATATTGGTAAGTCTTAAGTTCAAATGGAAGAGGAAACCCCAATGCACGTCTTATGTAGTTGTAGCCCAGTCACGAAATTGGAAAGTAACCTAGTCACATCAGGGACAAGAATTGAAGGATATTCTTTGGAGCGATGGTTTTTATCTCCTAATGATAGATGTATATCCTGTGGATATAAAAACCATCGCTCTTTGGAGCGATGGTTTTTATCTCCTAATGATAGATGTATATCCTGTGGATATAAAAACCATCGCTCCTAAGAATGATATACCTATCCCCGTCGGGGACAAGATTTGAACTTTGGAGCGATGACGACCTCAGTGGTCTAGCAGTCTAGCACACTGCTTTACTTCCAATGGTCGAGGGTTCGATTCCTTGCACGGCACAAACATTTGTATTTATGAGTATGATTGTTTGTATCGATCTGGGTATTTTCTATGTATGATATGTATGTATTTACGAAAAAAAAAATCTATGTATTTGTGTCAGTTGTCTAGTACCCATAACACAAGTTTTAGCTAGCTTAACTTGGGTCTAGATGGCGCTGTGTGAATTGTCCTGAGATTATTATTATAATTATCATGATAGATGTATATCATGTGGATATAAAATCCATCGCTCCTAAGAATGATTAACCTAGGCCCGTCGGGGACAAGAATTGAAGGATATTCTAATGAATGTCAAATCTTTATATTATCATTTTTTCATACAGATTCAATTAAGAAGAACTGGCAAGAAACTCAATTGAAAATCTTTATTTTTAAAGCCATTTATTTACAATGTTTACCTATATAGGTGTCTATGTCTAACATTAATTGAAAATCCCGTGCATAAACAACTATTGCCATGCACGCTCGTCATTCAAGTAATCGTTTAGTGAGTAATACCTAGGTTATGCTCAGTAAATATGATTTAACAGATGTTTTGAATTTATTTAAGGGTAATTCCAATCGTAAATTTTTTATACGTATTCCCATAAAAGACCTATTGACTTTTTCTAAACGATACTTGGGAACAGCAAGTTTGTCTTTAAAACTAGTATTAATGTTATGAATATGACATTGAACTTAAACTTTCTATTATATTATATTATATTTAAACTTTATATAATTTTACAGTAGACAGATGTTAGGTTAATTATCATTACTAACAATCCTTTCCCCGCCAAAATGTGTCATTTTTTTTATATATGATAATGGAATGGTGCGTCCGCCTGCGCTAATGGTTTACGCTGGCGGGGCACCAGTTGGGGATGATAAGATGAGCATAAGGTCAGGTCAGTTAGCCCATCGTGACACATTCAACAAGAATTTTTATCATGATGGTTTCCAGGGAAAACCTCGTGGAGGTAACATGGTACATTGCTAGCAATGGGAGTTACTAGTTCCCATTACTCACAATCCCCTTCCCCCTAAATGTTGCATTACAGGCATCCGTAAGCACCCGGTAGCGATGGCGGAACTCGAGAAGCTATGGAGAAATACAATTAAAGACAAATTGTCTCTGGTCTGCGTGGAGGACAACGACAGCTCTGCCATCGTCGGAGTGAATGCCTTGACCGTGGCCTGTAAGGATGACCAGGAGGAGCCATTCAAGGTTGTACTTTATACTAGCGGTTGCACGCGACTTCATTCGTATAAAATTTAACCTTTTTTTTATTAAAATAAATTTTATAAAATTACAGTAGTTTATGTTTCTCCTTATAGTATTAGTTATCTGCGAGTGAAAGACTCGTCAAAATCGGTCCAGCCGTCTCAAAGATTACTAAGAACAATAGACAGTCAGATATTTTTTTTTGTGTAATACCATATATATATACACTAGCTACCCGCCCTGGTTTCGCACGTGTGTACTCGTATTATAAATATAAAAGTTCATCTTGAATCACTCTACATATCTATTGCTAAAAATATATATTTTAAATGTTCATTTGTATTAAAGAATTTATAAAAACCAAAAACAAAATTTAATAATAACATGTTAAACGTAAACAACTACATTAGTTTATAAAAACTGTGTTGCAGTTATTTGTTGCTCGGTATGTTTTAATTTTACGTGAAGTTAAAGTGTATTGTGTTTCTTTTTTGTATTATTTTCTTATATACATATAATATTCTTGCACGTATGTAGGTACTTGTTTTTAGAATATTTTATATTGTTTGTAATATTTTGATACGAATAAAGATTTTATCTATTTATCTATCTAAAAATGCATTACAATCCATTGTGTAGTTTAAAAGATCTACGCTAACAGACAGCGAGACAACTTCATTTTATACTATGTCAAGATATGCATTTAGTGAATAGGTGTCTATAGTACAAGTACGGCTTAGTTTGGTATTAGTTTCTATGATAATTAAATTCCTGCTTAGTTAGTTCTGTTTAAGTTAACAAGTGCTATTTACTTTGTTTACTAGTTGATATCCCGACTTCGCATTAGTGTAACCTACTATGTTTGTAAACTGATTGAAATAAAACTCACTAAATTTGACTGAAATTGTCACTATACAGTAATGAATACCACACACAAATGTGTTTAGCCGTTTCTGAGGTTACACGTACACATACGTTCAGACAAACACACATAAATTCTAACAATCATTGGTTTGGGTTCTGCTACATAGATACATTTCCCCATTGATAATTTTCTCAAATGAAAATCTGTATGAAAGTATCGTCATTTGGAACTTATTTTTACGCTGTTGATTAAATATGAATTTTAAAGTTTGTATAAAAATTACCGTAAAATAAAATAAAAGTTCATATAAAAATTCGTCACACGTCGTATATCCCATACAGACGAAGTCGCGGGCACAGCTAGTAGTAATTTTTACTTTCAATTACTTTCAATCAGACAGCGATCAGTTACAGTCGAATTGAAAACTTAAACCATTAAGAATTAAGTCGAAAATACATTGCTTCAGACGGAGGACAAAGTGTGGGCGACACTGTTCGGTGCTGTGGACCTGGTGACTCGAAGTGTGGACATCTTCACAACCTTCAACGTGGACAAGTATCTGACTGCGTACGGCCTCGTTGTGGCCGAGGACTGGAGGGGCTGCAAGATTGGTAAAGAGTTACTCGAGGCTCGGTGAGTTTTAACATTACATTATATTTATTACCTTTGTCACTATTTTCGTAAGTATCCAAAACTTTTTATTCCAAATGCTACATGTAAGATTATAGATAGATAGATAAAAAGCTTTATGTTTCAAATTTTTACATTATTATAATACTACTATGCTGCAAAACTCCTATTGGGGTTTGTCTGCAAGCACATAATAATTTAGTAATATCACAGATAACATAATATTACATATAATAAATATATTATGTTATCTGTGGTAATAGTAATTTAGTATCTAATATGATCCATATTGTATGCATTTGACTTTTGCAGTAAGTGTTGTGAAATGACTCTTTATAATTTATTTGTAAGAAACTGTATTTAATATGAGTTGTAATATTATATTTTAATTTTTATTGTTTAATGTAGACAAACAGTTAAAATGTCCTACATGAATAAATGATTTTTGACTATTACAAATGTAGATAAAACTTTATACGCATCTTAAATTAATTTCAGTTCTATAAAAAGAACTCCTCCGATCGATCCCCGTCCAATTCAAACGGGGACCGATATTACGACGGCCTGAGCCGAGGTTCGAACCCCTAGCGGTGCCCTCAGACTAAAGTCGTATACGTCAGGCGGAAGTTGGCCTTCAGCCGCTCCATAAGTCCGCGAGTTTGGAGTACCATCTGCACTCGCCTCCTATCGTTCGGTGAAGTTGTAAAAGCCTGCCAAAATTATTAGAATAGTTCGAAAAATTAAAGAAGACTGATATTTGTTGCTCTTTCATTCCAAAACTATTAGACCTATTCGAATTGGATTTCTCATTCAAATAGGTCATGTTCTTAATTAATACCCATACCTAGTATTTTACTGCTATTTCATTCAAAAACTATATCATAACATAGACCTATTCTAATGGAAGTTGGTAATCAAATTCTGGGTCGGCAAAGCGCATGTGACATCCTGGTGTTTCAGGCGTCTATAGGCTACGGTAGCCATTTACTATCACATTGGCAGTATACTACTATACTATACTAGGATAGTTTTTGCCCGAATCCACAAGGATATCATCAACGTAGTAAATATTGATGGAAAATCTATCACGTCTCATTTCAGCTGGCGGGCTGCATTCCCAGCGTTCCTTAACTATACCCTCTCGGCATTCGTTGAGCGCTGCCAGCCGCAGGCATTCGATTATTTCCACATAATTGAATACGCCAAGGAATTGTTTGATGAAATGGAATTTTATTTTATTAATATAGGTGTCATAATGAGAATTGAAGCCTTGACTTCAGTAAGAGAGAAAGAAATTTCTGTTAGACACAGAGACAAGTGTAATGTAATATTAAAAGAGGAAAGATTCCAATACAATAGATACAATAGAATTTAATTTTCAAATAAATTTAAGATCCCTACATATTCGACATTCGACATTTGATATCGACAAATTCCTACATTACTTTGAAAAATTGCTGCTTTGTTTCCAAGTGTCAAAAAAACGTATAGTCCGGTCCGGTATTGCAATTTATCTGTTAGATAAATCTGACCCCAAAAAGGTTTAATGCAACAAATATCAAATTAGATTAAAATCATATAAAAAATATTCGTCAGTTTAAATGTCAAACCCGATCGCCTTATTTTAGTCACAATAAGTACGCATGCTTATTTTTTATTTAAATTATTAATTCCTAAATTTGACCATTCCGATAAATATGGTTCATATATCGCCTAGATACAAACAGAAGAAATGTATTTGCGACACGGAAAAATTGTTAAAGAAAATAACTGGGTCTCCGAAGCCTATACCACGTACAGAATTAAACTCAATTCGATTAAATTTGTTTACTGAAAGAAATTCCGATGGAACGGGCTTTTTAATGTTGAAAGGAAAATATATTTATGATAGATACAGTGTAAGAATTAACGACAAAGATATTAGAGCCATATGCCTTTATATAAAAAGATCGCCAAGAAGAATTACCAAGCTAGACTTATGCTATAATAACATAACTGACAAAGGTTTCTTCAAATTGCTCAGAAAATTATTAATCAAAGGACGCTCAAGCATAATAAATTTGAACATAATGCACAATCATATTACTGAGGAATCCTTATTAAATCTTGCTAACAAAGCAACATTGGTGAAATTAAAATATTTAAGACTTAATGGTAATGATTTCGGAGTGAATGGCGCTGAATATTTTGCCAAATTTCTGAGAGATAACAAAAGCTTGGAATATTGTGATTTAGGTGAGACTAATTTGACTTTATCCGGTCTCGCACATATTACTACAGCGCTGCGAATTGATCACGGTGCAAACACAACTCTGAAAGTGCTGGATTTGAGTAGAATTATACCTTTATTTAATCGTTACTCGTATGAAACAAAATGGTTGGCATATCACATAGAATATCTTTTAAATAGAAACCACTCTATAATAGAACTTCATTTACAAAAGAACCAATTTATATCCCACGACGTAGAGTACTTGTGTAGAGGTTTGCGAAATAATAAGTCTCTGTTATACCTGGATTTGGGATACAATAGAATCGGAGATTACGGTGCTGAATTACTAGCTAAATATTTGGCTGAATCACCGCAATTATTGCTTTTAAATATAGCTGGCAACTCTATAAAGAATACAGGAGCAAAAGCTTTAAGTTTTGGATTGCCGTTTTCTAAAATTCGTGCTTTAGACGTCTCACAAAACGATATAACAGATCGTGGTATTCTCGATTTGTTGAATACATTAAAGAAGCCTTATTTCTTGAGGTTTTTAAATATATGGGGTAACAAATTTGGTCATGTAACGTGCGGGGTGATTGAAAGAATGCTTCTAAGTGGAGTATTATTCCAGCATACAATTGATGTGAAAATTTATGAAGTAGATGAGGTCTTACACGCAGCGTATTACCCAAATCCTGCGGACAGGAATAAGCACTTGTATTATTGTGAATTGGATTACGGGTACTCAATTCCAATAGATCATATTAAAAGAAATGTCGCCACTGAGAGGAAGAAGACTATAGTTGATTGCAAACAGAGACATAAATTAGATAAGACTGATAGAAGTAGATTTTGAATATTAAATTGTTATGTGCACTTCTTCTTTCACTATTTAGATTAGATTAGATAGGTCTTTATGATTGATTTTAAAGTAAGTAGATGAGCTACCTACCTACTTTAAAATGGAGCACTAGCAACCAATGATTCACAGCTTTTTATTGGAATGGCAAACATGTCGATTGAAGGCATCTCATAAAAAATAGCAACCAATAGAAATGAACGTGAACATTTCATCATGTAATGTGATGTTCATGATACCCATCAAGCTTTGCCATTCCTGATGATGTTATTATTTAGTACTAATAAAGGTATACGCTGACGGGATTCAAGTGGAATATGATGAGAATGAAGTTAGCTCAGTTAGCGCATAGTGGCGAATTCACCGAGATTAATAACGATGGTTGGAAATGTGGGGTACGTGGAGGTCGATCAAATAAAGTGGAACTTGACTCCTTATAACACCATGCCATCGTACCCTGTAATTTCACTTCCTTCTCTCACCCTACAACCGAAACACACCTTACAAAGCAAGCTGCATAGCGACTGAAATAGGTGAGGTACCCACGCAAAGGACTTTTTAGTCTACCTTAGATAAAACTTGTACCTATATATATACTTGACGGAATCGATGTCTAACTTTTTAGAACACCGCATTATTTCCGATGGTCGCGAGTTCGATTCCTCGCACGGTACAAACATTATTCATGAGTATGATTGTATGGGTCTGGGTGTTTCCTAATGTTATGTAGACCTACAATGAGAGTTACTGGCAGTTTTTATATTACAATATTATCTGTGATTACAATATTTATATTTACAATTGTTTTATTATTACTTCTATCACTGTGTTCTGCTATAATAAACGTTTATACAAGCATCTCTCTACTTTCATTCATTTTTACTCCTAATATGTATGTATTGACAAAAAAAGTGCGTATTATATCAGTTATCTAGTACTGATAACACAAGTTCTGCTTAGCTTTTGACCAGATGGCGATGTGTGAATTGTCATGATATATGTTATACTTTCTTTACAGAATCCCTCTCTGTAAAGCGCTGGACCTCAAGTTGACAGCTACAGTGTTCACAGCTGCGGCGTCTCAGGCCGTAGCCAGGAAAGCGGGCTTCGTGGACCTGAGTGAGATCACATATGAAGAACTTGCGAAGAAGGGAATAGTGTTCCCTGGTATCGAGGAAGACACGAAGTCCTCTAAACTAATGGCGTTGGTTGTTGCCTAAATTAATTTTAATTTTAGGGATAATCCATAAATTACGTCACTGGGTGAGAGAGATGTCGACAGTGTGACAGAGTGTGACAAGGGAGGCAATTCTAAATATCGTGACGTCACATTTTACATATATAGTAATATAATCCATTTAACTCTCTGTTCATTTTATATATTTAAAGTCAATAATATCATCATCAAGAATGCTATTTTCTTCGAGTGGCTCCACTGAAAATCAGCGCTGCAATGACACACTGCGGCACCAGCTGAGTGGAGGCCCTTTCAGCTCATAGCCAAATATTAGTTTTTAAGTTTTCAATATTTTTATTCTGTACTATGATGCTGAATAAAATATTATTATTATTATTATCTATTTTAAATATATAGTTTATTCTAGTTATACAAAATTTCAAGTATTGAAGATTTTTTTTTTATGGAATTAGGTGGTTATTTAGCGGAAGTATTTTATAACATAATGTATTTATATTATTTTGTATAAATCCCATACCATTAGCATGTGTGAGTCCACAAATATTCAGAGCTTCCAGATTTCCAGTCGCTGCGCTGGTCAGGTTTCCGCGCTGAATGTTTTTGGTATTTGGTAGTGGGATTAAACACAAATAATATAAATTCATTTTCCAATAAAATCCATTAAGTTATTTCTTAAATATATAGTTTATTCTAGTTGTACGAAATTTCAACTATAGATAAGAGAAATATTCGAAAGTTCCAATATAAAAGAAAAAAATTATCGAATTAGATGTTATTTTGCGGAAGTTTATTTCATTACATGATAGATTTTTATTATTGAATTTAATTCCCCTATCATTAGCATGTGTGTGACCATAAATTTTTAATGCTTCCAGCAGATGGTCAGGTTGATGCTGAATATTAGTGGTTCCACCCATGCTAGTGGTAGTGGAATTTAGTGGAATTAAACAAAATAATGTAAATCCATTAAGTTATTAAAAATATGTTTAAAATACAATAATACATTTTCTAAATATGTGACGTCACACTAGGGAGGGGGATCTTCACAAATGACACAAGTTGTGACATGGGAGTAAAAAATTATAAAAAATCAGTCAGACGTAATTCATGGATGTACCCCATATATTATCTAGCAGCTGAGCCTCGATTTCGTACTCGTTTAACTTCTTTATTTCTAGACTCTTTCGTATAAAAGGAACGCTCAATTTTAAGAGTAACTTGCTACAATATATTAGTGAAAATCGCACTTAAATTGGTTAAGCTGTTTCTATGATTAGCACGTAGAGCCAAGCAGGCAAAAATTCTAAAAATAATCATATTATGATTATACCATTAGACAGACTAAATCCCACAATAATAGTTTTAATATGTAATATTATGTTATCTATGGTTTTAATCATCTAAGACAGAGGTTCCCAAACTTTTCGGTATCGTAGATCCCTTGCCATAGTTTTCGGTTTTGAGTAGACCCCTCATTCTTACCTGGTATTGAATTTTTGTAAATTTCTAAATGTAGTAGTAAAGTTCAGTTTTAAAAACAACTAGATGACCGTTGTCATAGACCCCTGGGGTCGATATAGACCACTTTGGGAATCACTGATCTAAGATGTCATGCCTCTTATGTTATTTCATATTAATAGCAATTTCGATAATATAAAAGGGTTCATCCCTTTTATTATAGGGGTTGTAACTTCCTCGTTCTTGAGAATGATAATGGAATGGTGCACCCACCTACGCTAACGGTTTCCACTGACAGGGCATCAGTGGAGGATGATAAGATGAGCATGAGGTCAGGTCAGACCCATGGTAGGTAAATTCACTATGAATTTATCCCGATGGTTTCCAGGGGACACTCCGTGGAGCTCAACCTGACATGTGTTACTAGCTTATTAGTCCATATAACTAACGTTCCCCTTCTCCCAGCGTTGACAGGTTATGCAGACGGAGTTGCATGTAACAGTTAGTTCATTATAAAAGCCACATTTTCGGCACGTAGACAGTTAGACTATTTGTCATTGCAATAAACAACCGTTACACAAAATTCTAGTTAATCGACGAAATAAGTTATAGATATTTACTTATATTCTTTTTTATATTTATTATATTTGTTGATTAATATTGGTATGCTATGTCATTATCGAAGTAACGGTGTATTCAATTAACAAACGGTTATACAATCAACGTTTCATGTTAATTGATATAACATATCTAATATCTACTAAACTGCTGGACTGATTTGGATTAAATAAATAAATAGCCCAGAACAATTAACACAGCACCATCTAGCCCCACGATAAGCAGAGCTTGTGTTTGATATAAATACATAGATACTTTTTTTTGTAAATACATACATAATATACATAGAAAACAACCAGACTTATACAACAATCATACTTATGAATACAAATGTTGGTACCATGCGAGGAATCGAACCCGTGACCATCGGAAGTAAAGAGGTGTGCGTTCTAAACCGCTAGACTACCGAGGCCGTATGATAATAACATATACATATGTATAAAACAACACCCAGTTCTTTTGTACCTAATTCCTTCTATACTGCTGCACTAATTTGGATCAAATTTTGTATGAATATTTCAATGAGTTCCTGGACTGACAAAGGTCATCCGCACCCCTCTATGGTGAAGGTTTCTTGGATGGTTTGAATACAGAATTAGACCGGTAAATAGCGATGCTTTTCAGTAAACGGTTACTGTAGTCTATGGACACCTGAAACACCAGTTTTTTTTTATTGACGCTTATGGATTTGACTTACATACTGATATTACATTCCTATACAATGTGATTTTCATTGCATTAAGGACTGACTTATAATTTATTTTAAATTTTTTTATTGATTCGTAGAACTATATCGTTTAGGTTTAAGATATTGTTATTATATTTTGACTTATGTTACTGTGATAATATTATTATACTAATTAAATTATTATAGGTAAGATTGTTTTGTGATTAACTCTCTAGTCAGTTAATTAAGCTAAAGTTATCTAATATGTCTGCTTTTTCTTTGGAATAGCTGTTTTAGCTTAAAAGTATATTCAAATATAATATTATAAATGTCTTGGAAATTTTATTTAAATTCACATTTTATTTTCAACATGATTCCTATCATATTGCTGCAACATTATTTTCAATTTACAGAATAAGATAGAATAAGAATTCTAACAACGCCATCTATACAAGCACAGATAAAACATATTATTTACCAATGCCATCTACACTAATCCACCCAAATTGCAATTAGTTCTAGCGTATGTCAATAGATAGAGCCACAGAATATAAATTCATGTTGACAATAAACAAATTCAGAAATGTATTTTAAATAAAATAATATTTTAATATTACTTAGCACTTAGAATTAGTTATATGTATAGCATTGTATCGAAACTGAATGAAAACTACCGTTGTTATAATAAATCTACAAAACAGTACCTACAGCTTCTGTAAAAATTAACTCAATCCTATGCTTCTTCAAAATTTAACTTTTTTAAATTAGTATATTACACATAATATAGTAGCAAATTATGTATATAAATCTATGTAAACATAATAATTTTAAAAATTAGTTTAAGGATAATTTTAAATTAATCAGGTAACACCAATATTAATATGGCGTCGCGTCCGATGAACAGTGTGTACATATAAAAGATTTTTGAGCTTCTTCAGCATAATTTGACAGCACGTTTTGTTTGTAACGGAATAGAACTTGAACTTATCTTCAGTAAATAATCTTGATGTTTCTTTTTATCGAAGTGACTATAAAATTAATAAGATTCTGTACAAAAGAGGTATTCAATTCATATTTTCGACTATGTATTACTGGGTGACATAATAATGTATATTATTAAATTTCGATAAAATATATATATTGTTGACACTTACTTGCAGCACGTTGCAAAATAAAATATAAATAGTACTTAATATTTTAACCGACTTTAAAAATGGAAAATTTTCATTGCTGTTACTATGATAAGCAATAACATTTTAAACATTTGAATATTTAAAAAAAATATATGTGTACAATACAATTAAGAAAGTTGTACATAGTCACTCTAAAAAAATTTTTATTCTATGTATACATTAGCGACAAAGTATTTTTAATTTTATTGCTTTAAATTAACGAGATTTCTGTTCAAAAACAGCACAATTCGTCATTAGATGATGGTCACACCATTTTACCATTTTCAGCATTGGCAATTTCGGCACCTCCCGTCATAAATCTGTCAAACGGTTGTTGACTTTTTCGTGTATTTGTCGTTTACTCTTCCTTCCTACAGCATTTTATTCAGTTTTAGTACCAAATAATGTAATAAACACTGTATAATTATTACATTATAAATTTATTATCATTCTCATCTTTATTCTCTGTAACTGGAACGTTGGTGTTGTGAATTTTAAATGTGTTAAAATGTGTAAAAGTGAATTGTAATCAAATTCTCATTTTGTTGTTTCACGCAACATCGTGTTTACTAACTTCTGTGGATTTTTCGCTATTTCCTGCGCTTATACAATATAATTTAACGGAATTTTTGAATTGTTTTCATTAAGTCGGTGAAAAAAAAATTGTGACGTTTAAAAATGTGGTCAGTGCTAGTGTTTTAAAATTTAAAAAAAAATTGTGTTTATATTATGGATTATTGTAACGTGGATGCTTGATTGATTGAAATCTTTTGCATGAAGGTACGTGTACGATTTTTTATTTTTAATATTTGTAATTTTCCAGCTTTAAATAATATTAAAAATATAATTTAAACATTTTCTATACCTTTCCTGAACTCACCACAGTGTGAAATACGTATCTGGAAAGCAAAGTGGGGACATTGTAAATTAATAAACTAAATGTAAACTAAAAATGCAGAATTATTCAACTGATTTAAAAAAAATACTGCTATAGAAAGCTAAATTACCAATAACTGAAATGGACAGAATTATCTTAAAAAAAAAATTCTTATAAATAATAGTGAATATCATTGAGCATCAATTAAATTTACTCAATCCTGCACCATTC